AGCTTAATAAGAAGTAGAAATAATATTATTATTCCCGCACTTTCTGAACTCCTCTTTGAGGGAGATGGCAGCTACATATATCTGATAAATAAATAAATTAAAATGCTGAAAATTTATCCCTATAATTGCAAACAAAATTACTATTATAAACAAAATGTGTGAACACATGCTGAAAGATGGGGAGGGCAGCATCATTGAAGCCAACAATAATGCAGTATGATCAGGGCCATGGTGAACTTTTTTTTTGAGAACAGAGCATTTATCTTCTGGGCCTCAGCTTCTCTAGTGTACCTGCTTAACCAGGTAGCCAGTGCTGTAAGCTTCTGTTTAGCAGTCTGTGGGCTTCAGATGGTGTCAGGCCCTTGTATTTTTTTTCCCAGTAGCTGAGCATTATCCTTAATATTCTCACCTATTTTAATTCTGCCAGCTGACTAACCTCTTTTTGAGTTGCCTTGACTTTAGCACAGTGGTTCTCAACCTGTGGGTCGGGACCCCATTTGGGGTCGAACGACCATTTCATGGGGGTCGCCAAACAATGCAGTCCGCCATTTTTTTCCCCCTTTTCCTTAGCTGTGCTACTCCCTTTTATTCTATTGGCTTTTGAAAGCCAATAGAATAGCCTCTCTTGAATAGAGTCTAATTCTATTGGCTTTCAAAAGCCAATAGGAATTGTCCAGGCTGTCTCTGCCCTGCTGAGCCTGCCAAAAGTCCCATTCTGCAAACGGTGCTGCACCAGTTGAGTAGTTCTCGACTTACGACCGGTTGAGTAGTCCTCGACTTACGACTGGTCGGGGGTCGTGGCATTAAAAAGGTTGAGAACCACTGCTTTAACATATAACCTCATTTTTCTTTTCCTTTTTTTGAGGGGGGGGAATGGGTGGTATATTCTGCTGTTCTTCTTGAATTGTGTAGCCAAGCATTTCCAGGATTGCAAACCACTTCATTGATTTGAGTTATAGTGGTAGTAGAGATTGTGTGTGTGTTTCTGCATAAATAAATGTGAGATATAATAATTTTATTTACTAAAGTTTGTCTATTCAGGTCTTCTATTTTCTTTTCTCTTTTTGGATCTGTATGGTAAGGGCAATAGCATAGCTTTTATATATTTCCTGCTCCAAAATGATAGAAAGGTGTGACTTTAACCATTAATAATTATGATTCAGAGGGAGGGCCACTCATCACCCAAGATACCTAATGAGGCTACCTGCAGTCTTGAAAAGGAGGGCAGTCCACCTGTTTCTAGCTGGAAAAAATTAGCAATATATTTTTCTATTGATCACTGCTCCCTGTTTTAATGCAATAACTTATCCCGCTGGTGTTGGTCAGAATGTGTTTTTCTCTTTGGTAGTTCTTCAGTTAGGGCAGTGGTGGCAAACCTAGGGCACGCGTGCCAAAGGCGGCACTCAGAGCCCTCTTTATGGGCACGCACGCCACACCCCAAAGATGGCAACCGTCCCTCTTCAACTAGCTGCCCACTAAGTTGCTGAGGTCCCACATGGCCGGATGCATCCCAGCACCCATGCGTTCGCTGGCCTCTGTGTGCAGGGGCCAATGGTTTCAAGCAGCAGCCGCCCCGGCCCCCTGCCTCACCTTGCCCTGTGACAATGGCACCCCACCCTGCCTCACCCTGCAGGACGAGCCTCCTGCCCACCGCCCCACCTGCCAGAGACCCCCCTGGACCCTCCCCCAGCCCTGCCCAGCCCCCACAGGCATCCCTCCCCACGAGCAACATCAAGATGATCATGCCCACCTTGGCCACACCCACCCAATCTGCCATGACCACCACAGCCACGCCCACCCAGTGGGCCACACCCACCTGGCACCCGGCAATAAATAAGTGGGTTTTGGGTTGCAGTTTGGGCACTCTGTCTCTAAAAGGTTCGCCATCACTGAATTAGGGTATTGTTTACTGCTTCATAGTTGTCTGGAGTTCATCTTTGGAGCATACCACACATTCATTAGTACTGGTATTACCTAATCAGATAATGAAACATTTGAAAGCAAACAACCAAGCTCAAAGAATACCAAGGACTCCACAGTTCAACTCTGAGCTACATGTATTCTCTTTTATTGGAGTATTGGATTCAGAAGGGGCTTCTGACATACATACATACATACATACATACATACATACATCAGATCAAGAATCAGAATTAGAATTAAAAAGAGCTCAAAGATCTAAATCCTATCTGGAAGAATTTGCAACATAAGTGGAGCAAATGATGTACCTAATCCCAATTCATACAAAGAAGTACAAAGATTGCTGGCAGATGAGGAGCAAAAATGAAGCAGGATGGCAAGTAATAAGCAGTGTAAGATAGCTGTGGAATAGCTACTACTCTATACAAGGCAACTGTGAGTAGGCTTGACATAGCCAATACAGTTGGGCTGCTAGATAGAAGAGGACTGGACAGATGTAAAAAGATTAGGCAGATGGTTAACAGGGACTGTGGACTTTAATTTTAAACTGCCTGTAACTAATCATCCAAAACATTTTGGATACTCTATATGATGGAAAACCAGCTGCAAAATATTGTACAATTATTTTTATTGTGTTCCATCCATTGCCTAGTATAGTAAGAAACAAAGCATGGTAGTGTCACCTACAAAGGCTAAATATTGCTTGGCAGAACCAGCATGCAGAAAGCTAGATTCTAAATATTCTAAATAAAAGACCCAATCCAAACATTGTTGAAGGACAAAGTGGCATATTTAAGAACTGCAGACACAAAGCAGTCTGGACACAATATGAAGCCTTCAGATGTTTATCTGCACTATGAGAAGGACATACGGTACATAAAAGGGGGCAAGATTGCTCAGTTAACAATATGGTGAAGATGTGTTTACCAAGCTACTGCCCAGGGGTCACTTTCTCAGGTTCAGATAGCCATCATCATCATCATTATCACCATCATCACCAGTGCCTGAAACAATGGTGGATGGTGCTCAGTTTGGGCATAGAGCCAATGAGAAGGGGAACGTTGGATACATTATCCCAGTCCCACCAGATTCACAGTGCAGAACAGTGGCAGGACCACCTAGGATCTTACTTTCTACCTCTCATCTGCTCCACTAGATACATAAGATGGAATAAGCAAAGGACTTTAGAACTGTCCATAGTAATGACCCACATTATTGCTTTCCATGGCTCTCGGCCTTTTGATATTATACCTATAAATAACGTAGATTCTTGATAATAAGCTGTCTATCCTTTTGTCTCTGTTCATGTCTCTTACTTCCTAGAGTTTGCCTGCCTTTTGACCCTTTCTGCCAGTTTTTGATGTTTGCTGAAGTTTAATAAATATCAAGCTATAATTTTTGCTAGCAAAATTGAATGACATGTAACTTGCTCTGGAATGGATATATGGACTGACTGGGAGTGTGCTGGGTGCAATCCGCAAATCACCCATGAAAAGTTTCCAATGAACACAGCAACAGCTTTGGTACATCACAATCTACCTTCCTTAGGACCGTACCTTGCACATGTGATGAAATGGGCTGCCAGCCACAAACGCTTACGCAAAATGCAACCCAAAATACAGGAAGGCTTTTGAAAGGCCCAAGATTGTTGACCAGGCGGACTCTTCGGGTCGATCGATCCTGGAAGCCCTGAATTCAAATCACAGAAGAAGGAAGCCCTCAGCTGGCTAGCTAGAGCGATGGGGCAATTTGCACGCTGGGACAAGAACGCGGGAGAAGAACTCCTGGTCTGGCTGGGAGGGGGGAGGAGGAGGAGGCGCCAATCCTCCTCCGGTTTGGAGAAAGGCGTCTCTTCTCCGCTCCCTCTTCCCCCCTCCCTCCCCCAGCATAGGCTAAAGGAGTCGCAGGTGAGAGGTGATAGGGCTGGGCGGGAGAGGAACGTCCGCCTGCTGTTTGGGGGCTCTGGGTTTCCTGGCTCCCTCCTCTCGCAGTCGTCGAGCTTCGGGAGGCGGCATGTCCCAGGGAGGGAGCAGGGATGTGTAGCCACACGCAGCCCCTGGCAGCCGGCCTGAGCGCGCACGGCGGCGGCAGCGGCAGCGGCAGCAGCGACGGCGGTGGCGGCTGCCGCAGCAGCAGGAGGAGCAACCGGAGGAGCCGGGAGGCTCGCAGGCAGCTCCGCCGCGCCTCCCGAACCCTCCGTGCCCGGGCAGGGCAGGGCATGGCAGCCCCCCTTCGCCGATCCCCGCGCTAGTCCCGAAGCAGGGAGGGAGGCCAGCAGGCACGCCCCCGGCCCGGGGGGAAAGCAAGGAGCCGCCGCGATCGCCGAGGTGAGGAAAAGGGGAAGTTGTTTGTCTGCTTTGGGGCGGGGTGGGGGCATCCGAGAGGGGAGGGATGCGTGCAGGGAAGGGGGAGCCAGGGTGGCCTGGAAGGGATCCGGGGAAATTGGGGAAGAGCTGCCGGGAAAGAAAGGTAGGTCTGAAATGGGAGAGAGGATCCCTCGGCGCACGAGGAGGCAGGCGGCAAAGGCAGCGGGGGGGGGAGGGGGCGCTGCCAGGGCGAGCTGGCACATCAGGGTCTGCCCTGCAAATGGAGGCTGGCGCGGTCGGAGAGAGGGCTCGTTGGGGCGAGGGAGGAGGCGTTTGGATGGCGGCTGGCGGCGAGAGTCCTCAGCATGTGCGCTGCGGCGGCTGGGCAGGCGCGCTCCTCCCCTCCGCACCTGGAAGGAGCAGAGGTGGCTGTGGGTTTGGGAAGGGTCTGCCGCCCTACCTTGGGGTGGGGCTCTCGGGAAGAGGCTGTCAGAGAGGCTCGTCTGCCAGGCAGCGGCGGGAGGAGCACGTGGGCTGCTGGGAGGGGTGCGCAGCGGAGGCTCCCGCTGCCCTCCGTAGAAGCTCCCTTTCTGGGCCAGCGGGAATCCGTAGGCGAGCCAAGCGGCTCTAGAGCCGGGCGGAGAAAAGACGAGGCGATGCGGAGCCGCGGGATGATCGCGGAGGCATCAGGCCGAGGATGTGGCCAGCGTAGGCAAGAAGGCCTTTTTGGGGAAGTCTCTGCCGTCTCTGAATGAGGTTGTTTATTCATCTCTCTTGCGGTGCTAAGAGGTTGAGGCAGAAGGGCGGTATATTTCAACCCGCCCTCCGAGAAACAGCAATTTTGAAGAGAAGTCCCTCCGAGCTAACAAACGGAGGCGTATGCATATGCTGTGGGGATGGGGAGACCTGGAGGCAGTTGGGGACGGGGATCCTGGCCAAGTTGCCTTTTTCTCCAGTTAAATTGTAAGCTGCCCAGAGTTGCCTTGTAGACATGGGCAGCCTAAAAATTTAATAAAATAAGTTGTTAGGCAAAGCCTTGTTGCTTTTTAGCAGTAGGCTTTAAACAGCAGAACTGTGCATAGGCATGCAGTGTATAGAAAGACCACCAATTCTACCTAACACGATGTGAAGGACACTCAGCTTTACACATAGGTTTGTTACTTGGCCAATCTTGCCTTTGTAAAATTTGACTAATGCTTGTTTCTTTCCTGGGGCATAGAATTAGAAACTCAGATCTAAGAGCCACATTCTAAAGCAGGAGAAATTGCTTCCATATTTTAGGATAACATATAGATCTGTTTTTTTAATACACTGTCTGGGTGCTAATTTCTTTGATCTATCCTCTTTAGGTTGTCAGTGCATCAACTCTAAAGGATCAGTTGAAAATATTGGAAGCAGAGAAATCAGCGTCTTATCTAGTTTCTTGAGGAATTCTTGATTCAGTAACTCTGCTGTACATAGTGATGAGTGACCCCACCATATGATTTCAAATGCTATTGCATAACCTATAACCCAGAAATGTACATGAGTATCTTTTTCTTTTTGTCCTTCTAGGGGCCTCCAATTCAGCTAATTCAGGGAAGCCATCTAGTTATAAATGAAAAGATTCCTTTGGAATCTTATTTGCTGCCTGTGAAAGGAATAGCTTCTTCCCAAATCATTAAACAGAGAAGGTGAAGTGGCAATATCTAGAACACGGTTTAATGTTGAGAAAATTTAACAATATTTTATTACTTGGAAAAGATGCTACCAGATTCCTTATGATTTTTGATGACCGTGGACTAACACAGCTCTCCTACAATGAAAGTTATGAAGATCCTTCAAAGTGGTTCAGGGTACTGAGCTTACAATACATTTATAGGGGAAAACAATTAGAAAAAATAATAATTGATTTATGATTGCTAATGACTTAGGTCATATCTCTGCTTTGAAGACTTGATTGGGAGTGGAGGGGAGAAATGACCTTTTCAATGACATGTGGCATTCAGCTGGGGTCCTAATAGCTCAAGAGGAATTGGTTACCAACTGTTCATCCTTAATCCATAAATTATTTTATAAGATTCACAGGAATCATTTTGCCCTTCCCTGATATGCAGCAGCTGTTCAGCAGCACAAAACACTACACCACGGCATAATACTTCAGGATAAGAAATGAAAGCCAATCTGCTAGCCAATTGGAACAACAATAGAATTTTAGGGAAATGGTAGAGTTCGGTTACCCACAGCAGAACGTGACCAGAATTCTATGTAGGCTCATAAAAATAACATCCTTTAATAATCAAACATGCATGGAATCTTTATTGTAAACTCACCCAGGGTATCTTTTCAACAAGAATACATATAGCTTCATGAGATCAACAATTCTGAGATGGGCGCAATACACTTGTAATTATATTCTTGTCTTTTCATATTTCCTTAAGCTCTATCACCACTACAAAGCAACAATAGTTTTACTTACTGTGTTGCCATTACAGTGACTTGGGGATTGTAGTTTGGGGAAAGTGCTGAGAGAATGTGGGTGGGGGACTTTGTTTTCTACCCAAAACAAAGGAGCAGCTGGTGCTTCCTCTGTTCTGTACACAAAAATTGACTGGACTTGCTGTTGCATTTAGCTAATAGCAGCAGTGGTTTAGCATCTTTAATTCAAATGACTGGTGGTTATTTTAGGGGTCACAGTTTGGCACATTCTACTCTCTCCTCTTCACTTCTCTTCCTAGTCCTCAGCATCTATTTCACACCCTTACTGAATAAAGCTATCCCTGCAGCCAGAGTGAATGTCATGGCTGCAGGACCCCAGCTCCCCCTACTTCTTAGTGTCCTAAAAACTTATATATTTTTTCTTAGATCTTTTTCATGAAATAAGGAGTAAAATTGGTTCAATAAATCACCAGGCTTAAAACTCTTTTGCCCTTGGTTCCCCCAATGCAAAAAAACCCCACCCCCACTACTTCTGCAACTCTAATTGTAATAATATATCTTTGCTATTCTATCTGCAATTCTTAGCTGCCAGACCTTTTATTTTTTTTAAAATGCAGCCTCTGGCTGCAAATGATTTGTCTGGCCCAATCTTCTGCCAAAAGGGGGAATAAATATTAAACCAATAAGTGTAAGAATGTATGTGTGCACACACATGCATTATGCATGTGTAAGTGGGTGCGTGTACACATGCAATCTATGAGATTAACCTAGAATTTGAAGAAAGGTTAAAATGTTACAATGGGCTATCTTTTATTCAGTTGAAGTCCACGAGTCATAAAAGAGCCAAGGTTGCCTACTCCTGGCCTATACTTACTCTACATTGGGGATAATGGGGAGAAGAAGAAGTGGGGCAGGCCATGATGCAGAAAAGGTGTATCTGTCATATGTAGCATGAGCTGTGATCTTGGTGGGAGGGGCGTGGAGGAGGTTGCCCACAGTTATCTTTGCAAAAACAAAAAATAAAAAATCTAGGCTGAGGTCTTTGGGGAGTTATTTGTACAGCTTTGAAGTTTTCCTTGACCCAAAGCAATGATGCAGTGTGATCAGTGAGGATCCAGATTGTTCGGGGAGGGTCATATAATGACTCTAAACTGCTTAGAGAGGGCTATAAAGCACTCTGAAGCGAAATATAAGTCTAAATGCTATTGCTATTGCTATTCACAGCTGTCAAAGAGTAGCTCAGGTCATCTGCATCACTGGATCTTCAAGTTTGCTACTCTTGCTGGCATGAATAATGCTATAAAATAGTCGCAAGTATGTTGATTGGAGATATTTGGAAGCAAGGGAAAAGCTGGCATTTAGTAGGAACATACAGGCTTTCTAGAGGGAAGATCTTGGATTCAATTCCTGCCTCTCCAGATAGCGTATCGAAAGCTTTATGCTTAATACCTGGAGGTTTGCAAGTTGGAACAGGCTAACATTGCACATATTGACCAATATCCCATAATAAGAGGGATTTCCAATTTTTCACAATAAAAGGAACGCACGTGTAATAAGCAAATCTAACCATTTTTTTTAAAAAAGAAACCCATAATATTCCTTCAGAAGGGTAGACAGAAATTGAAAATAACCATTGGTTGTTCTGCTGGAGACATGAAGCAGTAGGAATAGCCATGACTAAACAGCAACATGGTTAAATTCATTCTCCAATTTTAAACTATCCTCCCATTAACCGCCCTTGTGCTGCCAGAGATGAAGCATTGTCAGAATTGCTCAGCAAACAGTTGGAATTATTTCTGAGCAGGGAGCAAAAGATTGCACTTTTAATTAGCCAAGTAACCTCATGACCTTTTTTGGGCTTCAGCTTTCCTTCAGCTCTAAATAGTGTTATCTGTTCAGGTGGAGTTTCACTTTGGAACACATGTATTATATAGTGAACAATACCTTCAGAAGAATCGCTCTCTGATCTATGCGCTTGATTTTAAAGAAGGGCTTAGTTTTTCATAGGTCTAGGGCAGTGATGGCGAACCTTTTAGAGACCGAGTGCCCAAAATCCGCCCTCCGCCCCCGCCCGCCCCCTGCCCTGCCTGCCCACAGGGCCACCCACCACCTCCATGGCCTGCCACAGCAGTTTGCCCAAGCACCCTGCAGCACCATGGTGGCCACACCTCCGCCTGCACCCCGCAGTATCATCTGCGCACGACGGGCATGAGGGCGGAGTCTTGTCCCTGCTGTCTGGCTGCAATGTCATTGGCTGCACTGCTCCATGTGGGGGCGACTCTTCTACGGGGGGGGGGCTACTGATGAGGAAGGGGCTGCAGGGGAGGCAGGGCTGGGGTGACAGTGCGCGTGCCCATAGTGAGGGCTCTGCGTGCCGCCTCTGGCACACATGCCATAGGTTCGCCACCACTGGTCTAGGGGAGTTAATCCCTTCCCAAGTAAATGGGGAGAAAAGCTTGAATGGGTAGGGGTGTGTGTGTGTTCTATTGCTTATGGAGCACAATATGCCAGCTGATTCCGAAGGTTTATCATTTGAACATGTTTAACTTTGTATCCATTCAAGTGTTTGGAATATAAGATAGCCTGATAGTGCTGCAAGGAAGAGGCCAGCAGAGCAGGATTCTGATTTTGTCTTTGTTTCTTGTAGGTGACTATCTCGGTGGGGCCACACTGATCATGCTCAGGAGTTTCTGTCTTCAGCTCATGTCCTTGCTTTGGATTCTTGCGGCCCATCACCACTTTACCCAAGGTGAGGATTAACTCAACATTCACTTGAACTCTCTAAAGTGCCACAGAACAGGGAGAACATTTTATTTTGTACCTGTACATATGACCTTCCTTTATATAATTCTCTGTGAGTGGTGAGTCTCATTTGAAGAGGGTTGTTCTTCAGGTGCCAAATAAGCACCTTTACAAAATTAGCTTTCAGGATTTGGTTGAGGTCGGGGTTCCTTCCCAACCTCAAGAGAAGGCAGCCAAGGAAAGAGTTCAGACCAGGAGGTAAAGAAGTTTTGAGGACAAGGTGATGGCAAAGAAAACATTATGTCTGTGGAGCTATTCAGATTTGTTTCTCAAATGATGGTATAATACAAAGCTATACAGTGCATGAAGGTAGCAGGGCAAGTGATCCTTATCTGATATTGGGCACTAGTGGTGTTTTATGTGCACACAGACCCCAGTATGAGTTAAGGAGGGAGAGTATAAGCCATCATAAAAATAATATAAATACAAATTAATCCCATCATAGAAATCATTGAAAGATGGACTGCAAACGAAAATTGCCTTGTTGTTTCTCACAGTAAGTCATAGTAATATTAATAACAGATTGATATGACACTTTTCCAATGGTAAGAAATGTTCACTGCAGAAAAATTACAATGGCATTGGGGAAAAAAAGTTATTCCTGGGAGATGGTGGCACAGGATTACCTTAGATTTTCCTGGGTCTCATGGGAGATGTTGTTTTTCCCTTTGAACATATCCAATACAGCCCTAATACAGAGCAGGAAAGTCTTTCTTTCCCCCCAAATTCTCCACCTGAATCTCTTCACATAAAGCAGTGGTTCTCAACCTGTGGGTCGGGACCCCATTTGGGGTCGAACGACCATTTCATGGGGGTCGCCAAACAACACAGTCTGCCATTTTTTCCCCCTTTTCCTTAGCTGTGCTACTCCCTTTTATTCTATTGGCTTTTGAAAGCCAATATAATAGACTCTCTTGAATAGAGTCCAATTCTATTGGCTTTCAAAAGCCAATAGGAATTGTCCAGGCTGTCTCTGCCCTGCTGAGCCCGCCAAAAGTCCCACTCTGCAAACGGTGCTGCACCAGTTGAGTAGTCCTCGACTTACGACCGGTTGAGTAGTCCTCGACTTACGACCGGTTGGGGGTCACAGCATTAAAAAGGTTGAGAACCACTGACATAAAGGGAGAAAATAGCCGGAGGGTGTTTTAGAGTGGAAATTCTTACTTTAGCCTTTCACTGTGATGTATCCCTGCTAGCATCTGGAATGAGTTTGGATTGAAAATATGGAAGTAATGTTTAAATTGAATTGGCTGACATTCAGGATGTCTGTTCTGTTACTGTGCTGGCTGTCCTGCATCTGAACTTTACCTGGCTGCATTTTAAGTTTTTATGTAAGCAGTGACACCTACTGGACATTCTGTGGATGGCCTTACAATATTCCTGAGGACCAGAAATAATAATGAATGGAAAACAGAGGCTACATTATTATTTATTTAGTAACTATTCAGGCTGCTCATCTCATGTACATGACTCGGGGTGTCATGTATTAAATTAACATAAAATAAAAGTAAAAAAGCCATCAGAGTTAAAAAAAACCAAAAATAACACGAAATACTTGAACTTTGCTGTAAGACCAGGAAAAAATCCTACCTGAACTGTGATATTCTCATCTGAAAGTTTGGTTGTTCTTGTTTGCCTTGTCCCCTGCAATATTTTCATACCTTAAGTTATTCTTGTTAAAATTACATTTTGGTCTAGAAAGGAAGTTGCTATTTGCAGTTATACCATCTTCGTCCTGGAGAAAACCTCAGTTTTAATGCAGGAAATGACAATCAGAGGAAGGATTAATTAACTCTTTTCCTCCATCTCAATCTACTATTTACCTGAACAGAATCAGATTTCCATATTAAAGTATCCTATTGTTATCATTACATCACACCTCATTTAGTTTTCCCTACATTATCTTAGCTTCCTCCTTATGGAAACCATAGTACAGTGGTGGTGAACCTATGGCACGGGTGCCAAAGGCAGCACTTAGAGCCCTCTCTGTGGGCACGCGTGCTGTCGCCCCAGTCCTAGGTCTTCAGCTGGGTTTTATAAAACCTGTTTGCTTTAGGACTCCGCCGCCATGTGCAAAAAAAAAAAAAAAAAGGTTCAATCCAGTCAATTTCAACTTCTCACAGGAAAAAAAAAGATCTTGCAAAGTTGGAATTGATTCATTGAACTTTTTAGTCCCACCCAGTCTGCCGTTACCACCACAGCCATGCCCATCCAATGGGCCACACCCACCCAATTGGCCATGCCCAGCCAATGGGCCACACCCACCCGGCACCTGCCAATGCATAAGTGAGTTTTGGGTTGCAGTTTGGACACTCGGTCTCTAAAAGGTTTGCCATCACTGCCATAGTATATCCAAGAGATACATAACAATAAATGACCCCTTCCCCTCACTGAAAGAGAAGCCAGAGTAGCTTTGTGCACAAGAAACTAGGATGGAGACAAAGGTTGGGAAGAAGACATGGTAGGAGATTGAAAGGTGGGACCAGAGGGCGGCTCAATTACAACCTTGGAGATACTTAGATAATTAAAAAGAAATCCAGACCTTGGAAAACTTCTAATTCTCAAATGATGGGACACAGAACTGGAAATATTAGTGGCCTCTCAGCATGAAGATGGAAGAATCCATTCCAGTTTCCAGACTCTTCCTCAGTTTTAGTCGATGTAGTTATACTGAGTAACAGGCATTCGTGCTAGATAGTGCTTCTTCTCTTTCTCTATTAGCACCTATTAGTGCTGAGGCCACTAATAAGTTTTGAATCCTGGGTGCACACTTTACATTGAGCCTTAATGTGGTTTTCTTGTTTGATATGGGAACCCAACTGACTGAAGCTATTCTGCAAATCATGATTAAACAAACATGTGGGAACTTAGATAAAGTCTCATAATCACTTTCTTTTAAATACAGTAATAAATCTTGTGTCATCTCTTGTACGTTGCAACTCTTAGACAGGTATCACCTCCACCAGCAGCAGCTGCTATTGTGCACCCCAATCTCCCTTGGGGTTACTGGCTGCCTGTGGGTGACTATTCTTATATTGCTACAGTCATTCTGATTTTAACCAAAAATTGTTTGGACAAAATTATGAGACCTTGGAAGTCTTCTAGTCCAACCCCCTGCTCAGGCAGGAAGCCCTATACCATTTCAGACAAATGGTTGTTCAATCTCTTCTTAAAAACTTCCAGTGTTGGAGCACCTACAACTTCTGGAGGCAGGTTTTCTACTGATTAATTGTTCCATCAGGAAATTTCTCCTTAGTTCTAGGTTGGTTCTCTCCTTGATTAGTTTCCATCCATTGCTGCTTATCCTGCCTTCAGGTGTTTTGGAGAATAGGTTGATCCTTTCTTTGTGAAGAGGGTGTGAAGAGGGTATCCTGTCTCTGAAATGTGCCCTCCCAGGTTTCAGGTGTGTCACCCACTCTGGAATAGAAATGGGGATGGCTATTGTTATATGATAGTCTTTGCGGGCCTTTTATGGCTATGTCCTTTACATAATTGGATGCAAGACCTTCTCTGTGAGATTAGTTATGGGGGACAGCTGAAATTGTTCTTTAACTATCTTCTTCTCTATAGTGTAACAATGTTCTTTCCTAAACTCCTGGATTCTGTTACGAAGTTGGCAATGGAGTTCCCCAGAATTATGGTTTTGGGAAACTTCATCTTGCCTTCATTAGGCCTGGAGTCTTAGATAGTTCAAAAGTCAAGCCCACCATGACAACCATGAGCCTGGTCCAACTTATTCAGGGCTTGACTCACATGGAGGATCACACATTGGATTTCTTTTTTGTTTTAAGGCAGTGGAATTGTGATTTTGGGGTTATGCAGGATGATAACATAAATCCCTTACCATGGCCCTAGAGTTGTTCACAGCAACCTTTCCATGCAGGGAGCCAGAGCCTCTTGATCAGCCCACCTTAATAGCTAAGGGACCCAATGCAATTTCAGAAGGAGTTTGCCGTTTTCCCCAAAGCTCTGGCACACAGTTTAGTGAAGGTCTTTGCTGCAGTTTGGAATGAGCACACGGCAGGGGCCTAGACTGGATTATTCTCATGAGGATTCTGTAGTTACAGGTCTTGTAGAGTTTGTGGTTTTAGGGTTGTGAGTGAGGAAGTAGAACAAGAGATGCCTTGTGCACTTTGGTGAAGGATGAAGAGCAAAGTTGACTGAATTCAGGGAAACCCCACCATGGAAATTCTCTGGAGGGCTTGAGATGGAAATGGCAGAACCATGTTGGCCCACTTGGATCTTTTGGTAACATTAACTATGGTATCTTTCTAGACCAGCTTTGGGGACTGGGACATGTTCTTTTGTAGTGGTTCTTCTCCTTCCTATGCAGCTGGTTCCAGTCAGTATTGGTGATGGGGGAATAGAAGCGTAGTTCTAGGTTTCCGAAATGTGAAACTTGATCTTCTTTGACATCTGCATTACACCAGTGAGTGAGGTCATTTGAAAGCATGAGATATGGCATTATTGGTGTTGACGATACCCAGTTATATATTTCCACTTTGGCCCAAAAAGATGATGCTGTTGGAGTGCGGCCCCAGTCCTTGGAGACTGAATGTCTGGATGGGGGAAAAAGTTCAGATCTGTTCTCTATGACCCAGAATGCAGGACAGAGAATAAGGAACAGAAGTTACAGAAAGGAAGCCAAACAGTAAGAAAATACTTTATACTGTAAGAACAGTTCAGTGGTGGAACCAATTATCAAAGTGATAGTGGGCTTCCCCTCATTAGGTAAACAGCTGGACAAGCTGAATAATTTTTATTTGAATACCTAATGTCCTTTCACGTATATGGTCTAATACAGTGGAAGATACAGAGAGAGATACACAGAATTTGAAAAAAATATATGCCTGAGATGAAAATGAATTTTCACTATCTTAGTTCCAACTTAGTATTTCTAGGGAGAATAGGATTTGGTCAAACCTTCTGTCTTTAAGTGAGAAAGAGAAAGAGAAGACCATGTATAAAAGAATAAATGTGTAGTTATTCCACAGAAGTGAGTGAGGAATCTCAAGTAAACTGGTACTACTTTTATGGATTGTAATATTTTATTTTATTTATATTTTATTCATTTTATTTTTTTATTTTATTATTAACTTCTATGCCACCCATCTCACCGAGGTGACTCTAGGTGGTATAGAAGTTTAATACTCATGAAAAATCTTGGACTGGGATCCCAGTTTTTTTTCTGATTTGACCAATCTGTATTAAGGAGCCATTATTATGCCAGTCTTAACACTTTCATCGTAATGTTGATGTAGTTAGCCACTGCATTCTTGGCTTTGTTGTACATAAAGTTCTATGCTTTTTTCTAAGTTGCAGGTGATGACTGCAGTGACCACTGTAATTTGGCCCACGGCAGCTGTGAAAAGGATGGCAAATGCAGGTAAACAATTATTTGATGCAAGTACAGCCTTTCTATATATAGCCTTCCATTCTGTCTGCCATTGCTTCTTTATCAATATAATAGATTGTAACAATGCATATGACAGTCACAAGAAGGCTTGTCTTTCTGTGATTCTTTCACAGAAGACAAAGAGGCTCCGACACCCAAAGAAATGCTTTATTTCAATAAGTTGAGAAGGGTTTAGCTTAATTACTTATAGCAAGATATTCTTATATAGAGAAGAAGGGCCTATGGAGCTGATATCCGCTGTGGGTTCTTGAAAAGAAGAACTCTGGATATAAGAAAAGTGCATTTATTTATATTTGCATTATATTTAATTTTGTACTATTTTGATAGATGGTTTTTATGTGTTATGACATGCACTGTCAAGGGTCACTTGTTGAGATGGGTAGCTGTAGAAATTAGATGATAGATAGATAGATAGATAGATAGATAGATAGATAGATAGATAGATAGATAGATAGATAGATAGATAGATCTTTGATGAAAGTGTAATGATTAGCAACTAAAACTGAATTAGACAGCAGTGGCTTTGAAGATTTATGTTAAAAAGCATCATTGGCTGGGTGATCCTGAGATGTACCAGACAATTTGATATACTATTGAGATATTGGTTTGAAAACTCTTCAAATGGAATTGGGCATATTCTTGAGAAGTAGGTTGAAGACAAACAGAAAGAGGCAGTGGGAAAACTTTTTTGAATGAAAACAGATTGCTTCTCTGAGACAGAAGTTAGATGGAAGATAATAAGTTCTACTAACCAAAGCTAGAGAGAAAATCTGTGTCAGAGACAGAATGCCAGTTCAGTATCTTTAATCTTTTATTTATCTCAAAGTAGGTAGTAAGGTGTAGAAATAGCCATTGTGCATACATATCAAACACACATTATGGATTACAAACAGAATTGGAAAAGTTTTAGGTTGCAATGTTTAGTATGGAGGGGGAAAAAATTATTTGACTAATACAAGTTATACTGGAATTTTGTCTGCTCATCCAGACTTTGTATTCTTTTGCAGATGTGATCCCGGTTGGGAGGGTAAATATTGTGAACACTGTGTGAGAATGCCTGGCTGTAGCCATGGGACCTGCCACCAGCCCTGGCAATGCATTTGCCAAAGTGGCTGGGCTGGCAAGTTCTGTGACAAAGGTAGGTTGCTCCAATTGAAGCAGGATGGAAAAATCTTAAATAAAATCTGGACAATGGTGATACACAGTATTAGAAGTAGATATTTTTACATAATGCTGCTTTACACTGAAATATAATATTTGTGGTTTCCCTGGGTTCCTTATGGGATATTCTCAAGATGTACTTGGAGATTCTAGAGATTAATTTGAAGAGTTCTGTATGCAAAGCATGCTAGACGATGGAGTTACTTCTTCCAAGTTGCCAGGCTTCACATGAGATCTGGGAATACATTTCTTTCTGGACGCTTGACTCCCCCACTTGGTAGCCAAACTACAAAAATTTCAAGGACTTGGCACAGTAAGATAAATAGCTTTTACTGTGGTACAGAAGAAGTCATATACAGGTAGTCCTCGACATACAAGAGTTCATTTAGTGACCATTTGAAGTTACAACGGCATTGAAAAAAGTGACTTATGACCATTTTTTACACTTATGACTGTTGCAGCATCCACATGGCCATGTGATTTACATTTGGATGCTTGACAACTGGTTCATATTTATGACGGTTGCTGTGTCCCAAGGTCATGTGATCATCTTTTGCAATCTTTTGACAAACAAAGTCAGTGGGGAAGCCAGACTCACTTAACAACCGTGTGACTAACTTAACCACTGCAGTGATTCATTTAACAAGTGTAGCAAGAAAAGTTGTAAAATGGGACAAAACTCACTTAACAAATTTCTTACTTAGCACTATAAATTCTGGACTCAATTGTGGTTGTAAATTGAGGACTACTTATGCATGTGAGTCAATCCCAAGGTTTAAACGAGGGGTCTTCAGACTTGGCCTTTTTAGGACTTATGGACTTCAACTCCAAGAATTCCTCAGCCAGGTACGCTGGCTGAGGAATTCTGGGAGTTGAAGTCCACAAGTCATAAAAGGGCCAAGTTTGAAGACCCCTCGTTTAAGCCTTAGGCATTTTCTCCTGTATTTTAAACTTCAGGTTAGGATTTTTAGGCCATTTGGTTCCCAGTCTTGAAAACTGACATCTGTATTTTGTCTGGCTTTAGCTTTAAAACAATTAGCAGTTCAGCCTAATCTCAGTAATCATATAGCCTTGTTGGCAGCGTTTTCTTGTCTTTGGAAGGATGTTTTTTAAGAAGACAACAGTGGCTAGAGTTCTTGATCCTCTTCCTTTCAGACTGGACTTATCTATACAAGCCTCAGTAGGAGTAAGTGCCTCCTTGTCAGGCTGGGTGAAGACAGTGATAATGTACTTCTGAAAAAAAAGCCATTTTTAATTTTAGCAGTTTCAGTATAAGTGGGGTCATTCAACAAAAGTGGCTTTTGTTGAATATTGCTGCCACTTCATTCCATCCCTTGCAAGGTTTCCCTTCGACACACTGTTGGGTCAACAATCTTCACCCTTTGAACAATCTTCACCCTTTGAACATTTCATTTGGGAGGACATTCTTACCTTCTGAGAATGTGTAAAGCATGGATAAAGCATGTATCTAAACTCAGCTATATTAGCATGTTACATTAGTTTGTTGTGTGAGTGGGTTTCAGGTGTTTTAGGAGGAAAATTAAAAAGTAGCTTCTTGATATGAAGAAGGAAGTGACAAATCCAAACAAATTATTTTTTAAAAAATACGTTCTATGTTTTCCCTTTTGACTGGTCTAACTGCTCAGTTCTACACTGTCCTCCTCCTGAATTGTCACTTTGTTTGTTTCAGATACTAAGTATGCTATGCTACTGAGTTATGATGAAGTTGCTTTTTATCACTTACTTAATGGCTGTGTTTAACATCTTTTTCTTGAGTTGATTAAAAGGAAACTTCCACCCATAGCTCAAGTCAAATTACAAGTAGTCCTCGACTTATCGACAACCATTTGTTTAGTGACCATTCAAAGTTACAACAGCATTGAAAAATGTGACATGACTTTAGGACCATTGCAGTATCCCCATGGTCACTTGATCAACATTTGGCAATTGGCTTATATGTATGAAAGTTGCAGTGGCCTGGGATCATGTGAGTCCCTTCCATGATCTTCTGACAAGCAAAGTCAATGGGGAAGCCAGATTCACTTAACAACTGTATTACTAACTTAATAACTGCAGTAATTCACTTAACAGCTGTGGCAAGAAAGATCATAAAATGGGGCAAAACTCACTTAACAACTGCCTCATTTAGCAACAGAAATTTTGGGCTAAAGTATGGTCAAGGACTATCTGTAGATGCATCCTGGTCAAACAACTGTAACTGTTAAGAAGCGCCTCCCTATAGACATCTACGGGATCCACATCCTTTTTTGTATTTTTTAAAATTCTATTTCATGATTACAACATAAAAAGTATATTAATAGGTCTTTTTTTTTTAAGGTGGGACTTAAAACTGGCAGGAGGAAATCAAGGCCAAAAAACTTTTAACCTGCCTTTTATTGTTATTTGTTTGATTATTTCAGATGTTCACATCTGCGAGCATCAGTCGCCATGCAAAAATGGGGCGGAGTGTGTTTATGATCGTGACGGAGAATATTCCTGTCAGTGCCTTGAAGGATTCCATGGAAAGGACTGTGAGCTGAAGACAGGGCCATGTGAGAAAGCAGGGTGAGCAGTCCTCGTAAAAACAGATGGTAATAGCAGAAGGATAATATGAGGCCAGAACTCCTCTGCTTTGGTCACAATGAATGTTACATCTTAAAGAAAACCCGATGTAAATGAAAACAAGCGCATTGTAACCTTTGGACAAAGATTGATTGAAGTTTTAGTTTTACAAAAAGGAAATTAAAACTTCCAACTTTGGTAATGGACCTTATGAGGTTGGGATTCTCTAATAAAAATAGCATGATGGGTCTTAATTTTTCTCTGGTTTGTCCTTTCAGATTTCCATGCAAAAATGGTGCATTGTGCCATGATAATAATGGCTTTGCTTCCAATTACACCTGCAAGTGCCTGGCTGGATTTACTGGTACACATTGCGAGACTGATGTCGATGACTGCCTCATGCGTCCCTGTGCCAATGGCGCCACCTGCCTCGATGGCATTAATCGCTTCTCCTGTCAGTGCCAGGATGGCTTTGAAGGACGTTTCTGCACCATCAACATTGATGATTGTGTCAGCCAACCATGCAAGAATGGGGCTAAATGTTATGATCGTATCAACAATTTTGATTGCTTGTGTCCCAAGGGCTTTGCTGGGAAAACATGTGAGCTCCTAGCTCCTGAGGCAACCTGGATCACTGTATCCCAACCTGATGCCAAGGACCACAACAGGGCTCTGGGAAGCACAACCAGCAGTTACTCTTGGATGACCCAGTCTGAGCCAGCCAAGGTTATAGTTACGGGAAAGCGGATCACTAACTACAGCGAGAAATCAAATGATGGTGGGCTGTTAATCTCTGTGAAAGAGGTGGTGACTCAGCAAGACTCAGGACTGAGTCAGTCACAGCTCATTTTAGTGCTTGTATTTGGGGGAGTTACTATTGTGTTGGTCTTAGTGACCGTGTTGTTGCTGCTGAAGAATTGGCAGAGGGGACGCCAGAGAAGTCAGAGCCCCTCCCAAACTGCAAGGAAGCTTCAGGACCAAGAATGTCAAGTGGGAATGTTAAGTACAATCTTGATAGAACCCAGGAAAACAACAGAGCTGTAAGGAGCCAGAATCAGAGCCTGGTTGATCTAAAAATGCCCACCGATGATACAGAGAATCCTTCCAGCCACGTCTGGGGCCAGTTCTGGCTGCTTATCTCCAAAGCGTTGAGGGCTCTGATGGAACTGAAGACTGAATTGGCATGAAGGAAAGTGTCTACAAGGCAGTAAATCCTGCTTTTAGAAAAGAATTCTTGAATGTGTGCAGTAAATCCATTGGCAAGTTGACTTCAACTAATCAAGGCAGCCAAGGAAACATTGGGCTAGGATAACCCTCCTTTTGAAAACAGCAAATGGATCAGAAGGTTGTTATCCGACATGCGTTCTGCATTGTATAATGGCGCCAAAGGTGCCAAGACAGTTTATAGGAGCTGTAACTTTGTTAGGCCTTCAGGCATCTGATAACTCTTGGTTAGAGTCTTTGCAGGTTTCATATGGCCTATTCTGAGAGTTTAGAAACTGCTGTGATATGCCCTGACTCTAGAATTCTGGTCCAAACAATATAGAATTTTTCTACCAGAGGCCATTTTGTGTTTCCAATGACAATATTTTCCCAAGGGCCTCATAATGCCTTGAGACAATTTGCTGACCATTTTTATTACATCTCCCTTCTCTTCTATCTCATTTTCTTTTTTGTTTGTTTGTTTGTTTAGTTGCAAATGAAAGACAGATTCTGTATTACACCAAATCATGTCAGGAGGTTTGTTAATGCTTAATTTTATATTACGTCATTCACCAATCCAGCAACACATTTCCTCAGCTATGGTGTCAAACGGGAGCAAAAACAGAAACCAATGTCCATTCTTTGCCTTGGATATCTGGTTTGAGCCTCCACACTTGCCAGAAAGAAGATAGACATCTGTGAAATTGGAAGTAAAGTTCTATTCTAGTTCCAATTCCAAGGAACAAGTTCTTGAGAGAAAGGACTTAGGAGTGATATCAAAATAATTATATTGTTGGAGGATTCCACATAGTGTGCATGTATGTGGGAGAGAGGAAAAGAGATACATGGTATACATTTGGAGAAAAGAGTGCCTCAAGATTCATGTTGGATTATATGAAAAAAGAGGCAGTAGAACTGTTGAAATTTTGAAACAAAAGTTTTAGAGTTGCAGATACAAAACTCAATTTTCGGAACAGTTATTTTTGTTGCTAAGTTTTGCATGTTTTCAGGAACAAGTGTTCCTCTCCCATCTGCTGTTCCTTTTCTAATGGAACATTGGAAATTGTTTTACAGCAAGTCACTTCACTGATACATTCAGCTCAGAAGCTGCCATATTGATTGGCCATACGTCCCCAGGAATTTAGGTAGGAGAGTATACAATCCTTACCTGGCAATGGCAGGTTTTAAAAAGTGTACAATCAATTACTTTACCTTCTCTATGTGCTAGTGAAGGTAATGATGCATTTAAACAGACAATATTGCATAACGTTCTTTGGGTTGAATGATAAAATCTGTTCCATTCAGTAGTACTTTCTATATTCCATCATGATAAATGCTGAGTGTATAGAATGTTCGTGTTGGCCTTGACTGCTCAGCTCCCCTCATCTCACATCGTAAATATGTCAACACTTTAGGATTGTGGCTAAATTTCTAGGTTATGTACATAGAAACACCTAAGCAAAAAAAAAAAAAAACCTGAAGGAAAGATTATTTTTGTAATACACAATTGACAAATGTGTATTACTGCTCAGCTCTCCTCATTTCACACCAGAAAAATGTCAACACTTTAGGATCGTGGCTAAGTTCCTAGTTGTATACATGGAAATACCTAAGTTAAACAAAAAAAAAAACTGAAGGAAAGATTATTTTTGTAATACACAATTGATAAATATGTAACTTTATAAAATAAATACAATAATTAAAATACTAGCAACCAGTGCCTTCCTGCCCTCTCCATAGACCATCAAGTTGTATCATCACAGCTCAGCCACATTTAACAAAACATCTTTTTTCTTACTGAGGAATGCCTGGAAAGGATGAAGGAGTAATAATGTTCCCCCAAGTATTGATACTCTGCTTAGTAATTACTTTTCATCTTTTTAGGGATGGTAATTTTGATGTAGGCAGTGATCCCTATGGCTAGTAATCAGTGGTGTATGGAACAAGCTGCAGGCAAACATATCATGTGTAGTGGCATCACAAAAATGCTGCTGTTAGGTACTTGCATTCTAATGTCTGACACAAATACACAAATGACATTTGTCTGATGACATGTATTTGTCTTTCTTTGCACCCAATGGGGGGAAATGATGTGTGGGTCAACATAATTGCATAAATGCTGAAATTTATGTAGTTAGGACACAAGTACACAAAAGCATTGTGTGATATTACTGCACATGTCATTTTCATATTATCATGGCTTACTGGTAAAATCAGCAACAGCAATATACATGTCCACATGTTTACCAATTAAAATGGATAAATATATTGGCAGATAAGGTTGTTGTCGGAAAATTATATATATAAAAAGGGAAAAGGATATCGGGGGGGGGAAATGGAGATAATATTCTGAAATAAGAATTAAATATACAAGTGATGCAATATTTTTATTAGGACCAACCAAAATTAACAAAACAATAGCTTTTGGCTTGATTTGTTCCATGCATTATGACATAATATTCATTTTTTTCAGATCTGCATTTTGTATTAAATTTCTGAATCTAGATACCATGACTTACAAACCACAATTTACATTGTACAGTTTTGAGCCTCTATGAAAGCAGCAATTACATTGTTGGAGCAATGTATTAAACAAGCCCTTGAGTGATCCAGAAGTATATTGGATTAGATGGTACAAAAATCAGGAAAACGAGCTGCAATTCCCAAAAAACCAACAGTCCTAGGCTGATTAACAGAGGGATAGAACCAAGATCACATGAAGTGTTAGTATCATGTGAAGTGTTTGTGACTTGGTGATTTGGAAATTGCATCCAGTTTTGGTCGCCATGTTATAAAAAATGTTTAGACTCTAGAAAATGTGCAGAGAAGACCAACTAAGATAATTAGGGAACTGGAGGCTAAAACATAAGAGGAATAGTTGCAGGAATTTAGTATTCTTTTTAATTTTTATTTTATTTATTGGTTTAATTAAAAAAAGGACTAGGGGTGACATGATAGCAGTGTTCCAAAATCTAAGGGGATGGCACAAAGAGGGGATCAACCTATTTTCCAAGCACCAGAAGGCAGGACAAGAAGCAATGGGTAGAAACTAATCATGGAGAGAAGCAACCTAGAACTAAGGAGAAATTTCCTGACAGAACGATTTGCCTCCAGAAGTTGTGAATGCTCCAACACTGGAGGTTTTTAAGAAGAGACTGGACAGCCATTTGTCTGAAATGGTATACTGTAGGATTTCCTCCCTGAGCAGGGGGTTGGACTAGAAGACCTCCAAGATCCCTTCCAACGTTATACTACTACTACTACTACTACTACTACTACTACTACTACTACTACTACAATGTTAATACCGTGTTTCCCTGAAAGTAACAATTGGTCTTACTTTCTTTTGGGCTCTGAAATAAGCACTAGGGCTTACTTTTTGAGTAGGATTTATTATTTTCACTTATAGAAGGCGGAGAGTGCAGGGCTGATGGGAGTAGTAGCGCTGCTACCACCGGTCCCGCCCTCTCTGTCCCACCGTCTGCTTGCCTGCGGCCTCAACGAACCAAACCCTCATTGAGCCCCGGCCTCCGCCTGTGCTGCCTGCTCTCCCTACTGCTGTTGGGACATTTCTTGGCCGCATTGAGTGCCGTGTGGCCGCCGAGTGGCTGCCCGTGCTGCTTCTGGCCTCATGGGGGCTCTTTGCCCTCCTGGCCACGCTGCTTTGGGTTGCTCCTGCCTGGTGTGGGGCGAGTTGGCCCAGATCTTTTGTTTGACCTCCGGAGTGCCTCCCCCCGCTACCAGCCTACCAGGACCCTTCGCCAGCAGCCACTGGTGGAATTGCGCGGCCGGCACCTCCGCCTTTGGGTTGCTGAACGCCAGCCTGCATGCCTACTCGGTGCTACATGTGCCGGGCTACGGGCTGAACCTGGCATTCTTTGAGCCCTGGCGATGCCAGCTGTGCACTTTGGTCTCTACCAGTTGCTGCCACCAGCTCGCCTTCTGCCCAGCTGGCTGCTGCTGCCGCCATGAGGTGAGGCGAGGCAGGTAGCAGGGGGTGGAGATGCTTCCCTCCACCTGCCAGACACCTGCCAAAGTCGTGCTAGGTAAGATTGCCACATCCCCTGTCCAGATGCCCTCGCCTCCCCCAAGTTTTTTCACTAACCTGCCTTTCAGCTGCATTGTTTCTCTTCGCTGTGTGTTTGTGGGACTATAAAAAAACAGTTCAATCAGACCTTCCAACTTCTTGCAAAAAAAAAAAGATCTTGCAGAGTTGGAAGATCTGATTGAACTTACTTTTGGGGTAGGGCTTATATTAGTCCCACCCCCAAAAAAGCAAGCTAGAGCTTACTTTTGAGGGAGGGCTTACTTTTGGGAAACACGGTAGTAGTAATTTGACTGCTAGTCCATTTAGTTGCACTCATGCACTTATCCAGAGTGCACCACAGGGGGCATACTAGCTTTGCACCAGAAAGATGAGTGCCTTCTTGCTGCATCATCTGGGTCTTTCCCTCACCACCGATGTCGCCTCATAGTCGGGAATCACATCTGAGTAGGTCCAGCACTAGCAGGAGTCTGACCGTCCACACAAAATGCTGCCGTGTTTCCCAGCAAAGTGGTACCTATTTATCTACTTCCATCTATAGCAGCTTTCAAACTGCTAAGTGGGCAGAAGCTGAGGCAAGTGAAAGGTGCTCACTCTGCCACACGGTGCTAGGACTCAGATCACCACAGGAAAGACCACCTCCAGCATCTTTAAGCCACTGAGCCTCTGCAGTTTTGACACAAAGCATACATAAAGAGAGATGAAAAGGTGTTTCAGATGTAACAAATGGCTTCACAAAACTGAGAAGAGAAAGCAGCCATATGTTTATTGCTTCTATATTATAAATCTTGCCATTTAAGACATGTATGTCAGCTTGGTATATACCGTGTTTCCCTGAAAATAAGACCCAGTCTTATTATTTTTTTGCCTCCAAAAGAGGTACCAGGTATTATTTGTGTGTGCTTGTGTGTGTGTGTGTGTGTTTTCCACTCACTTCAGGCACTGACAGCTGGCCCACTTCTGCGGCTGAAAGAGCAGCTTCATTCTGCAGCTGAGAATGGAGCTTAGGCCTGCATTTCGCAGTCAGACCTTTCTGGAAGGTCTCTGCAGCCGAGAACCAAGCTATGGATTCAATCCATAGCTCGGTTCTTGACTGCAGAGGCCTTCCAGAAAGATCTGATTGCGATAGGCCTGACTGGGGGTGCCACAGAAGAAGTGGGCCAGCGAGGAGGGTGTGGGGCTCATGGGGCAGCTCCACCCTCCACCCCGCCCTAGCTTGATTTTTAGGTGTGTGCCTTGCCCCTAAACTAGGGCTTATTTTGGGAGTAGGGCTTATATTAGGCCCACCCCCCAAAATCAAGCTGGAGCTTAGTTTGGGGTAGGTCTTACTTTTCGGGGAAACACAGTAGTGCTATCAGTATTTTTAAAACGTACAGTGGTTTGTGTGGTTAGGACACTGGGTTGGAGGTTAGCAAGCCCACGTTTGAGACCCCAGTGCGGCTGTGGGGTGAGGTGAGCTTCTGTCCTTCACTCCCACTCTAGCTCTAGCGGGGATATGAAAAGAACCCCCAATTGGGCAACACTGATGTCACTGGCTAATCCTTTCAACCTGGAAGCATCTCAGTGCTTTTGGCACAAGTACAATGCAATGGTATTTTTAGAATCAAATGCTTTAAGGTGACACCTTTCATTAATTGTAGTAATCAGTGCTCAGTCATTGCAGGGTGCAAAAAATGGCCGCTGGCACGCAGCAGTTTATTGTTTATATAAAGTTCACAAGCAGCAAAAGTTTGTACATGACAATAGCATTTCATTGGTTAAACTCCCAACCAATCCTCAAGAATATAGAAGTCAGAGGCCAGAAAAAGGGAGTAGTTTGGCAATAACATCTTGTTGATGCGAGCTAGCTGTTATCAGGCAGGCAAGGTCATTCCAAAGCCTGCGCACTTTCACATCGCCATGATAGAATGATAGGCAATTGCAAGGTCTTTCCTCACTTCACTTAATAACTGGGTTTTATTAATCCAGTGGTTCTCAACCTTTTTAATGCTGCAACCCCCAACTGGTCGTAAGTCGAGGACTACTCAACTGATGCAGCACCGTTTGCAGAATGGGACTTTTGGCAGGCTCAGCAGGGCAGAGACAGTCTGGACAATTCCTATTGGCTTTTGAAAGCCAATAGAATTAGACTTTATTCAAGAGAGTCTATTCTATTGGCTTTCAAAAGCCAATAGAATAAAAGGGAGTAGCACAGCTAAGGAAAAGGGGGAAAAAATGGCAGACTGCATTGTTTGGTGACCCCCCGTGAAATGGTCATTCGACCCCAAATGGGGTCCCGACCCACAGGTTGAGAACCACTGTATTAATCCATCCTACAGCTGGCAGGAAAGTATGTCAGTATAACATTTGCTCTCCTCATTATCAATCCTTATTCTGCTACTACTGCCTCTGTTTCAAATCATAGCGATTGCCTGATTTAATCTGCAAGTAGTGATATAACAATAGAGATTGTATAGTCCCTGTCCTTGAAAGGTATCAGAAAAAGGAGGCAAATACTGCTCTAACGTGGATACAGCTAAAGATAACTCAAATCTCCCTCATGAGCAAGGGACAAGATGAAAGCAACATCCAGAAAAAATAGTTGGG